TAGGTGATTCATACAGTTTCAAATTTTCCTTCTCAGAGCTGACCCATGCCAAATGGTCCCCGATGGTAGAGTATCTCTTCCAATCATAGTCTGGCGAACTGCCTCAGGCTAGATTTGAAGCAGAGGTCTCATGGGACAGTCAATGCCTTGCTGTCTAGATGTACTCTACATCAAGGGATCTGGGGGAGTTTAGGGGACAAGCGGGTGAGGGAGCTATGATTTCTTTAATAGTGCAGTGTTCAGTGGCTTTTAGAAAAGCTTGAGGTTTGCTTAATGTTCTAAAATTGCAGTAATCCCTTGGTGGAAATCAACTGAGGCACTTCTTAAATGAGAAGGGCAGGACATGTCACTCAGTGGTAGAGTACTTGCTCCGTGTGAGCAAGGCCTCTGGTTCAATTCTCAGCACTGCAAAAAGAAAAAAAAAAAGTCTAGATACTTGTTAACCAAAAAACAGAATCTAGATTTTGAATAGTGCTACAATCATATAATAGCCTAGAAGTATTCGTATACTGATACCTAAGGTCTGGAACCTTCTTAGTATACTCAGTCATTTCCATCATGGGTGAGTCATGAAGATGGGACTAGGATGTGGCTTCAACAGTAGCTTGGTCAGGCCACACTGAACTGAAAGGGGACTTGCCTGGATTCCCAGGATAAAAGGGAGCTGGGTCAGGGAGAGGAGCTGCCAGAGATGACAAGACAGGAGAGCTCAGGTTTGTAACACCTGCAGGTAAGGAATAGGAAAGTTTTTTCCCCCCCAAGATCAAGCTTCTATCACAAGAAGATACAGGACAATCCAAAACTTTGGAGCTAAAACAGTGAAGCCAGGAGATGTAGACCCAGAAGAATCAGTATGTTTCTTCATGTTGAGGTGCCGGTATCAACATTTATCTATGCCATTCTATTTTATTTGAATTTTGTTTTGGTTGGACCCATGGTACACAAATATGCCCACTTTGAGCTCTTCATTTGTACCCTCTTGTAGAAGGGAGCGGCAGGCTGCGTTCCTGCCGTGATCCTGGCTCCCCAGCTAGTTTACACCCAAAATAATTACATGGAAACTGTATTCATTTAAACACTGCATGGCCCATTATCTGTAGCCTCTTATTGGCTAACTCTTACATATTGATTAACCCATTTCTACTCTGTGTAGCACCACAAGGTGGTGGCTTACTGGTAAAGATCCTAACCTGCGTCCATCTCGGGTCAGAAAATCATGGCGTCTGCCTCATTGTCTTCTTCCCAGCATTCTGTTCTGTCTACTCTGCCTATCTAAGCTGCTGTCCTATCAAAAGCCAAGGCAGTCTCTTTATTAACCAATGAAAGTAACACATAGACAGGTGACCCTCCTACATCACCCTCTAATCTGTGTTTTTAGTTTTGTAGAATTACCCAGTCTGATGATTCCATAGGATACCTTGAAGTTTATGTACTGACTGATTTGACAGAATCCAAAGCCTGTCTTTTAAATCTTCAGTCTCTTAGCTGATCTGGGTCAATGAAAACAACTCACAGTTCCCTAGCATTTAACCTTTCCTAAACTTCAGTGATGAGGATGGTTTCTGTGCCTTGTTGGCTTAGTGGGGAAGGCAACTGTTTTAGTTCTTAGAAATAAGCCAGTGGCCACTGAATATCCAATAAGCAAACATCAGACCCTGCTGATTAAACAATCGCCACCACACTCAAGTAAAAGAGTAAGGAGGAAACTGGGTGGCTAAGTCTGGTCCTCCTTGTATTGACCTCCTCCTATTTCTCTCTCTCTCTCTCTCTCTCTCTCTCTCTCTCTCTATTTCTCTCTTTTCTGTCATTTGGCTAGCAGTATGAGAGGAAGAGTTTCACTGATCTGAAGAAGAATTTGAAAAATAAAAAAGATCTCTCCAAAGGCTTCCTGTCATTTAACCAACATGTGGTTCTGTGACATCTGAAAGGACAATATAATGACAACTGGGGAGTTGCCACAGACTTAGTAACAGCTATCTGTTGTATCCCGGAGGGCACAGCAAAGTCCACTATTGGAGGTATGTAGGCGCATGCCCGGAGAAAGCTGGGATACATCTAAATAGTCACTCTGAGAAAGCTTCTATGGGATGAGGTGGAATTCTAGACCGAATGACAGTTGGGGTGAGCTAGGCTGGGTTATGCGGCCCTGGCCTTTTGAATCTCGACCATTTGAAAGACTGTTAGGAGATGGATGGAGAAATCTGAAGTCTTGGGGGATAAGAGCAAGTTCAGCATTCAGATCTTGAGAGGAACAGTAGCACATTGTCAGAAGAATATGTGGTGTGCTGGTAGACTCGTCAGTTCACAAAAATGAAAACTGTAAGTAATGAATCTGCTGAATAAAGACACATACCTGAGCGGTATGTACGTGGCGCTCTCTCTCTCTCTCTCTCTCTCTCTCTCTTCTCTCTCTCTCTCTCTCTCTCTCTCTCTCTCTCTCTCTCTCTCTCTGTGTGTGTGGGGGGATGCTGGAAATGCTATGGCTTAAGTGTCCTATCCTTGCCAAGAGATGCAGAACCTGGCAACCTCCCTCCCACTTCAGTTCTGCTTGGACATCTTAATCACAGCCAAGTAGTCCTTCAGGAATCCAGGAAAGCCGCATAATTCAGAACATAGCCCGAGGTGAGGTGTCAGACTCTGGGACTCCTCTTCTGGATTCCACAATAATAAACCCCATTTGTGCTCTTGGTGGATTATCAACTTCTCAGGGCTCAGCTCCATTCTTTGTAAAATGGGGATAATGGTAAAACTTACCTAGAGGATTATTGTGGGGATTAAGTGAATCAATGTAGGCGAGGCTCTTAGAAAAGTGTCAAGTGGGGTAACTTCACAGTAGTTGGTGGTGGCGACTGTTATTTAAGAATCTGATGAAAGCTATGGACCCTCAGCCCACACAACCACAAACATCCATATCCGCAGGATTTTACACATAATGTAACCATGTAGGACCTGTAAGAATACTGGTAACGGAGGTGCCAGGTTGCAGAGAAACGGGCAGGGTGGTGGTGGTGAAAGGCAGCTATACAGTAGATTTTCATCGTGTGGTACTCTGTCCTAGGGACAATGACTTTTCAAGAGAAAAAAATAAAAGTCTTTTCCTTTTTGCCAAATATGTCACCAAACACAAAGTGAGTTTTATATGAGCGAGCAGTGCTCCAATATTTGACAAGAAGCCATGCTGGAATTGCATGCTCATTTTTTAGAGACTACTCCAGAGCCTCCCCGGACAGGGCTGGTGTCATTTTCCTTGTAACAATGCTGTATTATATGTATCTTTGTATTCAAACTTAGTGCCTTGTTAGAATTTTCATTGCATCTACTTTTAATGCTGAACTTTTGTTGTTAATGGTATGGCTAATTTATGACTGAGAAAGATATCAGCATTGTATGATTGTATGGTTGCTACACGAACCAGGGTGTTCACTTGAGTTCTTTGCTTTTTTTTTTAAAGAGAGATTTACTCCTCTAAATTATATAGAAGTATAAATTATAAAATACCCCCCACCTTCATACACACACACACACACACACACACACACACACACACACACACACACTATCAGAGCACAGAGAAACCAACCATAAGTTCTCATTTTAATTATAAGACAAATGACTCTGAAGTGCTTGGAGACCTGGTTGGTTGTTTTTTTCTGGCCCTAAGGAGACATAGCTTGGTTATTGCAACTAAATTAAGGATAGCTGAACACTATGCTGGCTCTGGGCATAAAATAGGTTTAAGAGCTCCTTGTAGGCTGCTCAAGATCTGACTGAAAACCATACAGGAAGGCATATGCCTAAACTGTGTGCTAAACTTTCCAGAAGGAGGTATTTGTGGCCGAAGGCATGAGTGCATCCAATGGATTGGATGCTAAGGGTGTCAGCTTTCTGTTGTGCAAAAATGCCCGAGAAAGCCAACTTCAGGGAGGATTTATGTTGGCTTTTGACGCCAGCGATTTCATTCCAAGGTTGTCTGGATTCATAGCATTGGCCCAGGCAAAGCAAACATCATGGTGGGCAGTATGGGTTTCCTATGACTTTCTGCTCATGATCCCCTCTAAAACATCATTATTATTTTACACCCCAACTGCAGTTTCCCTTCCTTCCTCTCCTCCCAGTTCCAGTTCCCTTCCCCACTCCCTCCCTTGTCCCCATCCACTCCTTTTCCATTTTTGTTCAGAAAAGGGCAGGCCTCCCGTGAATATCAGCCAAACATGTCATATCAAGTTGCAGTGAGACTAAGCACCTTCCCATGTGCTAAGGCTGGGCAAGGTGACCCAATATGAGGAAGAGTATCCCAAGGGCTGACAAAAGAGTCAGAGGTAGTCCTTGTTCCCACTGTTAGAATTTCAGTAAGACACAACTGTCTCATACATGCAGAGGGCCTAAGTCAGTCCCCTGTAGGCTCCCTGGTTATCTGTTCAGTCTCTGTGAGCCCCTATGAGCCCAGGTTAGTTGATTCTGTGGGTCTCCTTGTGGTGTCCTTGACTTCTCTTGTTCCTACAATCCTTTCTCCCTCTTCTGCAGGATTCTCTGAGTTCCACCTAATGTTTGACTGTGGATCTCTGTGTCGGTTTCCATCAGTTGCTGGGTGAGGTCTCTCTGATGACAATTGGGCTAGGCACCAATCTATGAGCATAGCAGAATGTCACTGGACATCATTACATTGACTTTTTTTTTTTTTGCCAGTTATGGTTGTTTCTATCGTAGGTCTCTGGGCTCTCCAGTCTCTGGGTCCTGGCCCTCCAGGCAGTGTCAGGGGTGGCCTCTCTCTTCTTGCATGGGTCTCAGGTTGGACCAGTTATTGTTTGGTGACTCCCACGGGACTAATTGTAGCTTGAAGGTCATGTGCTGGGTTGATGTCCCAATTCTTTCACTGGAAGTCTTGTCTGGTTTCAGGAGATGACTGGTTCAGGCTCCATATTCGCTATCATTAGGAGTCTTAGCTGGGATCCCCTTTGTAGCTTCCTGGGAGTTTCCTTCCATTGCACTAGGTTATTTCTTCAGCCTGAAATGCGCCCTCTTTTCCTGGATGCTGCAACAGCTGCCCTCTTGGGTTTAGGGGCTGTCCCTTCACGGAATCTATGTCTGAATCTTCGGTAGACAATTTTTAGGTGTCTCATCCGCCTGGTCGCGGTAATGTTTCGTCTCTTAGCCTTGGTATTCCAGTTATACTTTCTCTTGTGCTTGGCAGGGTAGCCGCATTTGCCGCAGGTAGACTTCTGAAGGTGGTCGGCCTTAGAGCCACAGCGGCGGCACAATGTGTGCATCTTGTTGTGACGCTTTCCTAAGGGTGACGTTCCTTTCATCATCTTGCTTCTGCCACCGAGGCCAAAGAGACCGGAAGAGCTTCCAGCCGTCTCTTTCGGGACTCTCACCATTCATCCCCCTCAAACCTGATTTTTCCTGTTCCCATCCCCGCCTTCCCACCGTCTATCTGAAAAATAGATTGTATTTTTGCTTCCTAGGGATATTCAATTTTCACCTTTTGAGCCCTCTTTGTTACTTAGCGTGTCTGGGTTTGTGGATTGTAGTATGGTTATCCTTTATTTTATAGTTAATATCCATTCATAAGTGAGACATGCCTTTTTTGCCTTTCTGGGTCTGGGTTACCTCACTCAGGTTGATTTTTTTTTTATAGTTCCACCAATTTGCCTGCAAATTTCATGTTGTCATTGTTTTTAACAGCTAAATAATACTCTGTTGTGTAAATTTGCCACAGTTTCTCTATCCATTCTTTGGTTGAGGAGCATCTAGGTTCTTTCCAGGTCCTGGTTCCAGGTTTCCAGCTTATTTATTTCCAAATAAAGTTGATATGAACACAGTTAAGCAAGTGTCTTTGTGGTATGATGGAGCATCCTTGGGTATATACCCAAGAGTGGTTTAGCTGGGTCCTGAGGTAGATTGATCCCCCAGTTTTCTGAGAAATCAACATATTGATTTTCAATGTGGCTGTACAAGTTTGTACTCCCACCAGCAATGGAAGAGTGTTCTCCTTGCTCCACATCCTTACCAGCATGAGCTGACACTCACGTTTTTTAAACTTTCCTTTTATTTATTCTTTGAATCTTTCACATCATGCATCTTGATCTCACTTATTTCTTGTCCCTGCATATCAGCCCTCTGCTCTTGCAGCCCTCTACCAGATGAAATTTAAGAGAAAAAAAAAGAAAAAAAGTAAAGGAAAAAAAGGAGAGAATCTTGCTCTGGAAGCTGTAGTGTGATACGATACAGTGAGTCAAGCAGTAAACCCTTTTGTCCATGTATCTTTGCTTGCAAGTGCTCATTGCAAAGAGTTGTCGGTCTGGTTTGAAGTCTCTGGTTTCTGGTACACTCTTGATGCTGGGCCCTCACTGAAACTCCTCTTGGTTATCTGGATGTTGCCCTGTCTTGTGGAAATTCTGCAGCTTTGGGTCTGTAGGACTGGTCACAGCTGATCACAGATGGGGTAGACTTTGGAGTGAACCAACTCATAATCTTGGTTCTGGGTCTGGGTAGATGTAGGGTTGGTCAGCCCACCCACTCCCCCTTGTCCTCACTACCAGCTCTCCATATTACCTGACTAGTTCGCCTCTTGAAGCTCTGAGCAGGGGGTGGGGCCAGCTTTCCGTCCCTCATGTCCTTAGGGTCAGATCTCTCACACCTACACATTCAGGGCCAGCTCTACTGTGCTGTCCAGGTGTGGCACAGGGACCATGCTTCCTGGAGCCACAGAAGACCAGGGGCAGGGCCAGCTCTCCCACCTGCCTTGGGTGTGGATGAGGTGGAGGTATCTTTCCCTTTCCTATCCCTTCACATGACAGATGAGTAATGGGAAAAATTGGTGCCAATGTGGAAAACTAAATCCACATCAAACCCGAGATGGCTTGGGAAGGAATTCTAGACACTAAATAACAAGGTTTAGCTGCATTTATTTTCCTGAATGGGCTTTGCTTGCTGGTATCATGCTGCAGCTTCTTTAAGAGAGGTCTTACTGATTCAGTGATAGCAGGGAAAAAAAAAGGTCTCACCCTTTTGAAATACCAGCTTTCTGGGCCATGCTGCCAGCTTGACCTCTGGCTCTTTCAGGAGGCCAAGCATTTAGATGGGTTTTGTGAGCAGAGCGCTACAAACTACTTAATGGCTCAACATAGAGCCACTGCATACCTGGAACTGAGGCAATGTACGCAGCTTGCAGAGATGGTAAATAGAGTTCTGCCATGTTGGACTGTGCAGAGCAAGCTGGAAGTACCATATATACCCTAGTATTGCCACAGCTTAGATTCTAAGAAGTGCTTAGCATTTTAAGAAGCACTCTCCTTCCCTCCATCTCTCTCCTTCTTTCCCTCTTTCCTCCCTTTCTTCTCTCTCCTTCTTCCCTTCAACCCCTCATTCCCTCTCTCCCTCTTCTCTCCCTCCCTCCTTCTTTCTTTCCTTCCTGTTTCCTTCCCCCTTCCCTCCATACATTCCCTCCCTGCCTACTTCTTTCTTTCTCTGTCTCTTCTTCAGTGCCTCCTTACCTCCTCCCCCTTCCCCATCCTTTTCTTGCTTTAGCCTAGATGTGGAAATAAAGGAAGCTATTAGGGGTAGTTTCAGTTGCTTTGGGGGAAAAACAGACCATGTCTGTGTTAGAACTAAACATCTACTGAAGAGAATTGATGTAGGGAGACTCTGAGGAATGTGTTGATTTTGGAATGATTTTTGCAATCAACTCTACAAATTGGAGATGCTTACAGGTTGCACAGCAGAAGCTTTGTCAGGGGTTGGAGGACCATGAATACAAATCAGAAAAGCCAAGCAGTCTACCCAGGCCTATAATGAATGTCTATGGCTCAATTTTGGAGATAAAGGGATTAACCTTCCATGTCACAGGTAAGTGTTCTAAGACAAGAATGCTTATTATTTCTTAGTTTTCTCTTTTGTGAAATGGGGAGGAAGAGTTAGTGCATGTGACTGAGGACTGGATCAGCAGTGGCTTCTCACAGACAGTCTGCACTTCGTGGTTGCCCATTCTTCCTTCATTCTCACTTCTTCCTGAAGTGCAGATTCCCTCCAGCCATTGTCACCTGGTGAATGACAGCAGTGTAGCCTCTGGGCCATGGAGAAGCTGTGTAGACAGCAGTGCCTTAGCTGATTTTGTCACTTGCTCTAGGGAGCAGTGGGTACAGTAATGAAGTGTTTGCATAAATAGAGAATTCCTCACCCAGAATTTTTTTTCTGTCTTCCTCTCTTCCTGGGAATCTTCATATTTTATAAATGTTCTTCAGCAAATCAGAATGTAGATGATTCTGGGAATAACTAATAACTGTATGGCATTTCATAATTTTTAAAATAATTTTATAAACATCAAAGAGCACATGACTTACATGATTCAGGTGTTCTGCAAGAGAACTGAGTGCCAAATATTTGAGGGAAGAAAATCATATAATACACAAGTGTGTGTACACATAAAAACCACTACTCTACAGATTAAATACACACTAAAAATCAACCAGGCCGGTATGCATTTCAGGCCCTTACACTGTGGACTCAGGGAAGACTCCAAGGAGATGTTAAGCCAAGACCAGAAGAACAAGGCAGAATAGTCCTACTAGAAAATGGGCAAAACATGTTCTATGTATGAAGATGTCAGAGCAGAGCAGTGTTCACTGAGAAATCTGCACCTTAATAAATAAGGGAAGTGGTAGTCAGGAGAAGACTGAAAAGGAGCACATGGGCCAATTTCTGAGGGGCCCTGGTCATGGTCAGTGCATTAGGTTTAGAGCAGAATAAAACCTGCTACAGAATGATGTTAGTTTTGTATTTCTTACAGATTACTGTGGAATAAGCCACAAATCAGCTAGAGCTTAAGTGGGATTTGTCTGTCCCTTCCACCCTGACTTAGGGCCAGCAAGCATTCCAGTTATTGCACTTCTGGGCATCTCTTCATGCTCCTCTAAATATCTGTCAGTAAGTCCACCTTGGTGCGTTTATAAACCATAATGTGTATTCCTTTGGCTCATGTCTTTCCCTGTACTCACTTTATATCAAGGTAAGTCTATGCATTCAGCTTTGCACTGTTCCTCATGCTTCTTAATATGGCAGGGGACACTTATCCACTTTGCTGACTGTTTTGATTACTATTCTATTCTTTGAAAAGACACCATGACCAGGGCAACTCTTATTTAAAAAAAAGCATTTAATTGGGGTTTGCTTACAGTTTCAGAAGTTTATTCCATTTTCATCATCCTGGCAAGCAAGATGGAAGCAGGCAAGCAGACATAGTACTAGAGAAGTAGTTGAGAGTTCTCCATCTGGATCTACAGACAGCATGAAGAGAGAAACTCTGGGCTTGGAATGGGCATGATGAAACCTCAAAGTCCACTTCCAGTGACAAATTTCCTCCAACCTCCTAATCTTTACAAATCGTGCCACCCCCTGGTGATCAAGTATTCAAATCTATGAACCTATGGGGGCCATTTTTATTCAAACCATCACACTGACCCTTATAGAAGTGAGTTCCAGTCCATGCCAAGTGATGCCCTCAGATGGTCTACCACATATTACACACAAGAAACTCTTTAGCCTTTATGCAGAATATGCACTAGAGAATGGTATGGGAGAATTGTCTGTATTCTGTCAATCATACTTTAAATAAATGCTGATTGGCCAGGCAGGAAGTATAGGCGGGAAAACCAGACAGGAAGTAGAGGTGGAGTAAAGAGAACAGGAGTATTCTGGGAAGCAGGAAGCTCCCTCCACAGTTCTGCCCAGATCACTGGAGAGGCAAGATGTGACCTGCCCTGCTGAGAAAGGTACTGAGGCTAACATAGATAAGGATAACTTAATATAAGTTACAAGGACTAATAAGAAGCCTGAACTAATGGGCCAATCAGTTTATAATCTTATGGAGTCCTCTGTGTGATTTTCTTTGGGGCTTGCCGGCTGTTGGGTACTGGGTGGGACAGAAACCCCGACAAGCAAGCTGGTCCATCATATTACAAGAGAAGATGTTCCCATGATTGGAGAGAGTAGCTATGGTCGTAAATGAGCAATTGATGGGTAGAGGTATGTCCCTCTCAGATCTCTTACTGAAGTCCATAAGCCCAGTATCCAAGATGTAACTACTTGAAGATAATGATTGTAAGTAGTTGACTAAGTTCAACTGAAGCTCTTAGGGCAGACCTTAGTCCAGTATCACTGCTGTCTTTATAGAAAGAGATCATGACATAGATGTATAAAGATGGAGATCATTGAAGACCTCCCACTGAGTATCTCCATTAAGTCAGAGAGAAACAGAAGTCAGACTCTGCTGAATATTCCAGTGTTATGTCACAGATGTAAACAACACACC